GGATTAGGTACGTGAAAGTTCTTTGTAACTGGTAATGCCCTCTGCAAATATTAGTTATTATGCTGATACATTTTCCCTTAATAACCCGGAGCTTGGGCTATAAAAGGCCTCCATGCCCTTTATTAAGACATATCCTAGGAACTAAGCTATTTTATGTCTTTTTGTTCTTGTAAGTTCTAGCAGGTTTTGCACTGAATTGTATTTAAAGCAGTTGTAAATGACTTTTTAAAAGAGCAACCTGAGGTGGCTGTGGATGGTGTGGGATCCCTGGAAACATCGATGGCGGTGGCCGAGCTCGTTATGGAGTGCTAGGTGGGTGCAGGGTGCAATAGCTCACATAAAGATCACGACACCTGAGATGCAGAAATGGAGGCCCAGACAGGGACGTACCTCGTGTAAGGCCACAGAATAGGAAGTCACAGAGCCAGTCTCACACGACGGCTCTGTCATCCAAGATCTATTCTGTCTGTCCTCTCCGCTGTCTGCCCAGATTTGACTAAGAGGTCATGACCTCATCCCAGTATCTCCATAAACAGGTCCCTGAATTTCTGAACGCCTCAGTGTTGGAATTTGGCTTAACACTTAAGAAAAATAAATAACGCAAAGAGGAAAACGCATCATAGAAGCGTCTGATTTCACGACCACATCCAATGTACAGGGAATCCCCCGGAACTCACGTTTCTGTTGCAGCAAGCTGCTGCCAGCTTAAGGGGGGCCCTGTAGGTGGACACTAAGCCAGGGATGAGGAAGCCGAGGTTGGCACAGGACGTTGGGAGAGAATTTTGTTCTTTAAGTTGCTTCCCTGCCACATACTGGACTTTTGAAATCTCTTTGCGCCTTGGTTTTCTCATAAATGCTCAGTCCCCTCCATAACGGTAGAGTTCTCTGCCCCTTTCCTTCATAAAAGGAGGAGAGCCTGAGTGATTTGCCCAGAGACCCCTGGCTGTTACCAGGTGTCACCCCTAAATAAGTCCATCACCTCCTCCTGACACCAACTGTTTTTCCTCCATTTTTCCTCTGCAGTGCTAGCCACAAAGCCACCTGAAGGTGCCTCCCCTTCTTTCCTGTGTGGGGTCCCCTTTTTGGGGGGCTACTGTGTCCCTTCTCATGATGCCACTATCACGTGCCATCAGCTCACTGATGTTTCACACCAGCATGGGAAGGCTCATCCCTCCTCCCATTTGTCCCTCCTCTCCAGTTCATTAATTCGTGCAATAGTTACTTACCGATGGCCTGCCTACTTGTGCCACACACTGTCCTTGGTACTTGGGATATATGAATCAGAGCAGGAGACAGACACTATTTCTGTCTTGGTGGACACAATATTTGAAAAGGAACAACAAGTAAATTATGATACGATGTCCGCAAAGTCTGGAAACATCAGTGAATACACAAGATGCCCTTAAGAACATCTTCACATGATTACATGGATGGAGCTGGAACATATTCTTCTTAGCAAAGTATCTCAAGAATGGAAGAAAAAGTATCCAATGTACTCAGCCCTACTATGAAACCAATTTATAGCTTTGTTATGAAAGCTATAACCCAATTAGAGCCCAAGAAGAAGGGGAAAGGGGAGAGGGAGGAGAGGGAAGGGAAGAGGATGGGTGTAGGGAGGGTAAGTGGTGGGCCCACACCTACGGTGCATCTTATAGGGGTACATGTGAAATTTACTAGGTGTGGAATATAAATGTCTTAACACAATAACTAAGGAAATGCCGTGAAGGCTATGCTGACCAGTTTGATGAAAGCATTTCAGACTGTGTGTAAAACCAGCACATTGTATCCCATGATTGCATTAAGGTACATAACTATGATTTAATAAAAAAAAAAAACTATAAAAAAAGAACATCTTCAATCTGTAAAATAAAATATTGTCTGTGCTTCCCGACTTCACAAACCCTGCATGCCAAAATGAGCACCCTGATGGGGGAAGCACAGAGTGCAATGTGGGCAGAGAGTAGCCCCCTGTCGTAACCTAATGGGATGAGAAAAGGCTGCCTGAAAAAAGAGGTGGGCTGAGACCTGGGTGAGTGAGGAAGGGGCTTCCACAGGAGGGCGAGCGGTGGGGCTGCTCCGTGCAAGGCCCTACACCCAGGGCGTTTCTGCACGAGGTGCAGAGCATGGATGTCCTAATGGACACCAGGCTGCTGCTCCCAAGGGCCTTCTGCACCAGGCCCATTCTCTCCCGAGGACATTTTTATCCTGGAAGCAGGTCTAAGTCTTCTTCCTTAATAAAGAGATGAATTTTCCCTCTGGATTCTCTGCCAACAGATGCTCTTTTGTCTGGTCTCTGCACCCCACCTTGACGTCTATCATGGGCCCATTAGTCAGAGGATCGAGCTCCCTTTGAAGCCTTCTCTACCTGTCATCTGATGACTGGATTAATATCTACCCCATCAAATTCAGATAAAGATTAAATGAGATAATGTAGATTAAAAGACTTCATAAACTGAGAAGCACTCTATAATTGGCAGCTATTATTATTATTACTATTGTTAAGCTAATTATAATAATTACTATTCCCACAGAAGTTATTAGTCCCAGGTCACATGGGAAGCCTCCTACCCTGACATTCAGCGCATGGCAGAGATAACAGTGTTTCAAAGTTTGATACTCATGGCTGCAAAAATCTACTCACTCCCTCCCGGGTGCCTTGTGCTACGTTCAAGCTTCCAGGACCTCTGCCAGGCTCCACTGGCTGGACTGTGCCCCTCGGCTATCCCAGCTCCTTCAGAGGCGTACCGCTACCAGCCACGGTCGCCAAGGTTTACCAAAAGCACACTTCACATTTATTTTGTTTAATTCTCACATTCTGTGTCAGCCTCCTCCTAAATGCATTTGTTTGCAGAAAGAGCCACAAGGGGAAGTTCAGCCCACAAATAAGAATATAATTATGACACAGTTTAGCAGCGCCTGGGCGTCACCCGGGTATTCACCGGTGCTCCAAAATTCAATTGTTTCTCCTTCAAGACCACATTTAATAGGATAAACAATTTCTGCTAAATGCAATAACCACGAACCTGGGCTGTCATCGCCATAATCAACTCAAATTTCCCATTAGAAGCGGTGGCTGTGATTGAGACGCGGAATTTAATTTGGCTACGCTTGTGTCTTTGTGCTGGTGTCGGCTTCCTGGGAGCCTCCCATCAACCAAAGACAGAACCGCTCTTCCCCGTCTCCGGGGAATCTTAAAAGAAGATAGATTATAACTCAAGAAAATTATACTGCCTCAGTATAATGAAAAAGATAAAACATTATTGGATTAGCCTGGTGAAATAACAGCGGACGGCAAAGCAATAGCATGGAGCCCAACAAGGGCCCAGTCGGTCATCAGTTGCAGGGGACGGAGGGCTGCAGGAAGGCCGGTGGAAATGTCTCTGCTTCGCTGCAAGAACCCCACCTCCTTCCATCATTGTTGCGTTTGCATTCCAGATAGCTGGTTGAGCCAGATTCCTTAATATCTCGGAGCCTCCTCATTTGTAACCAAAGCAGTAACCAAGATGTTAAGCCCTCAGGCCTCAGCCTGAACCCGACAGTGAGCTCAGAGATGTGGCAGAAAAGGACTGGGTTAAAAATGAATATGAGCCAGTCCCCCCTTCACCAAGTCAGTGATTTTTCAACCAGTGCGTGTGCCGTGCGAGGATCTCAGGTGTGCTGCAAACATTTTTATAGATCATTAATTGAATTATTTTTGAAAAGGAGTTCAAGGCACAGTAAGTTTTCTTTTTTATTTATTTATTTTTACCAGCATGATTTAAGTGTGCCTCAGAAGTGTAACTATGGGTTCAAATGTGCTGTGAGATAAAAAAGGTTAAAAAACACTGAACTAAGGGTTTTTTGCCCCCACCAATTTTATTTCAACACATTCACCTGAGGTACTTCAATTAGACAGGAAATGACCAAGTGCAAAGAAAGCCTTAAGGGATGTTTTAATCAGCTGGAATGACTAGGTGAAAAAAATCTGTAGTTATTTACTAGGCAATCTAGAAAACAAAAGTATTTTGGTAACCTAGAGATCACTTGTCTTCTCATTTTCCTCATCAAGCCCAGCCCTTCCTGAAATGGTATTGCACAGAAGCCTGATTGAGTGAAGAAGAGCGTACTGACAATTTCATAGTGGGATGTCGGGGAAGGTATATGTTTCCGATGGCCCCACAGTCATGAACTTGAAATTCTCCTTGACACGGTTTCTCTTCCAGCCACCATGGCCGTCTCCTCTTCATCTCCTTTCACATTCTCTCATTCAGGGACCGGTCTCCCTGGCTCTTGTGCTCAGCTCTGGGTCTTCCTGGGAACACCCACGGCACTCCTCCTTAGGCACCACAATTCCGCTCTGCCCCACAACTCTTGGTCTCGACGTGCACAAGTGTGCCCTTCCTCTGCTCAGCATCAGAGAGATCTGAGGGGCCAGGACGCACCCTTCTCAGAAAGGAGTGGGTGGAAATTGGCCAACCCCCAGACTCTCTCTCTCTCATAGTACTTTCTGGTGTGTTCTATTTCATAAAAATTCTTTGTTAATCAGATACTCATTTACTGAGGGGTAAGAGAGCATTATAGTTAAGAGGTGCAAACTCTAGAACCCACATCTGGAGCTCAGTTCTGCCACTTTCCAACTGTGTAACCTTGGACAAGTCACCTAATGATTCTAAGCCTCAGTCCCCCCAGCTGTATAACAGGGCTGATAATAGCATCCCTTGTCAGGTTTTCATAAGAATGGAATGAATTACTGCCCTGAATCAGTGGCCAGCACACAGTAATTGCCCACTAAACATGAACTGCTGGTAATCATTGAACAAGACCTTGTACTTGTCAAAGAAATAACAATTTAATTTCCACTCATTGATTCATGATTAGATAGCTACTATGTGCTGATAGGGGAACTATAGGGTGAACAACTCCCAACACGGTTCCTGGTTGGTAGTAAACAGAAGTATGGTAGAGTGAGCAAAGTGAGGATTACAAACAAGTTTATGCCCTTAAGGAACCTGCAATTTCAGTTTAACTCACTATCCAAATCAATGTGCATTTTACAAACTAAAATCTCTATTTTAAACAGCCTGCATGGCACTGCTTCTGCCCTCGGGTGAGTCCCAGGTGGCAGGTGGAGTGGGGATGAGCTGGCCTGAGTTCTTGAGGGCTCAGAGCTGTCCCTGTTGCAGCCCACAGCTGTATCATCCTCTAGAAACTCTCCTTCCCTAGCAGTTGAGGGTTTCTGAATCAGGACCGGGGCAGGGGCTGCCCCCGTTTTGAGGAGGTGGATTGGTACACTGCCGTTGTCTTGTCTTACGCCCTCCAGAGCAGGAAGACCAGTTTGACCAGCAATTCCACTTCCCATCAGTGAGAACATCTGTAAGAAACAAGGTCAACAAGTCTTAATTAGCTCTTCTCATATTCTGGTCTTTTAATGGTGTTGGGCATGGGGTATGTAAATGGCCAAAAGATTTTGGGAGTCCCAATCTCGAATCTCCCTTTACCAATTGATCACCTGTCCTTTCTGTCCGCTGTACTTGCCATGCTCCTGCCTACCACAGGGCCTTTGCATGTGCTGTTCCTCTTGCTCGGAACACTCTTCCCTTCTCTAGTTACCTGGTCAATCCTAGTCACCCTTCAAATCTCAGTAAAAGTGTTATTTCTTCTGGAAAACTTTCTCTAACCCCTAAATCTCCATCAATTTCGCATACTATAAGCTCTCCCATCATTTTGTGGCAGTAGTTACAATTGGAACCTTAAATGCAATTCTGGGACTATTCTAATATCATTGATCTTCCCTTTCAAAGTGCAATCTCCATCATGACAGGGGAGATATCTGATTTGCTCACCCAGTGACAAGCCTGGCCTGGAGAAGGCCTTTGGTAAGCATTGGTTAAATGGATAAATAAATTTATAAATAAATGGTTTCCAACTTAGAAACTACAAGATAATGGTTAAGGCACAAGATAATGGATAATTTGCTTCTTCTCATTAATGGGGGCGATGGCACCTACAGAAAGCATTGTGTGTTTGAAGTGATCACGCTCTAATCCCTGACACCTGACTTTCACCTGAGGAATCTGGGGTTGTTGATGAGATTGGCAAGTAATCAGTTACTTTTCTCGTGATATAGAAATGTCTGGCTTTGCTGCTGACTCACAGTGTAATTCTGGGTAACTTCCTTAGTATCTCTGGGCCTTCCCATTTGTAAAGTGAGGCAGCGACAGTGGCTGGTTCTTAGGGTGTCCTCCAGCCAGCAGCAATCCTGTGGCTGTGTGACTGCACACTCGCTGGGCAGATCACTACTGGGGGTCTGGTTGAGGTGCAGGAAAGAGAAGAGTGTGTGGTGGGAATTACGATCACAGACTGTGCAGTCAGTCCCACTGGACGTGCACCTGGGTTCCTAACTTACTGTGGCCACCGGGCAAGGTCCTTTGGTACCAACTAAACTCAGATTCTTCATCTATAAAATGAGAATACCAATAGTATCCACCTCAGGGGGCCATTGTAAGGATGAAAGGATTTAACAGGTATAAGATACAAAGTCACAGTAGGCTCTAAACTAAGTAATCAATGCTGATCTTGCTTTTACAATGTATCTGCCATCATTCTGAGTGCTTTCCAGGCCTGGTTACAAGCCCAAGACTACTCTGTAAGGTCGATAAAAGGATCGTCTCTGTTTTACAGATGTGGAAACTGAGGCACACAGAAGATAAGTATCTTGCTCAAGGTCACAGTTATGAGATGATGAAGAAGGAATTTGAATCCAAGCTATGCCTGAGCCCTCGGTAGGTGCCTGGGACAAAGCAAAGTGCTCAGTCGCTGGTGGTTGTTTGATTGCACATGCCACTTCCATTGTTAAGAGAATCACCAAAAAGCCACAGGAAAAAAATGAAAGTGAGAGAGGCATGAAAGGTTGAGAACGCTTTTGTTTTTTCTTTTAATTTTTGAGATAGAGTCTAAAGCTGCTGCCCCGGGTAGAGTGCTGTGGCATCGCAGCTCACAGCAAATTCAAACTCTTGGGCTCAGGTGATTCTCTTGCCTCAGCCTCCCAAGTAGCTGGGACTACAGGCACCCACCATAACACCTGGCTGTTTTTTTGTTGCGGTTGCCATTGTTGTTTTAGCTGGCCCGGGGCCGGGTTTGAACCTGTCAGCCTGGGTGTATGTGGCCAGTGCCCTACCCACTGAGCTACAGGCACCGCCAAGGTTGAGAACTCTTAAGTAACAAATTGGCCAAAGAATTTGAGAGCGGGAAGAGATCTTAATGACAGCCTAGTTCTGGGTTTGTTAATTTAACATTATCTCACTGAGCGACAACTGTACCTGGCCATGAGACACAGGCAAATACAAGATGATCCCTACTCACAGACACATAAATACACACCCCAACCCAAAGGCCATGTGCAAAGAGCTACGATCGACTCGCACATAGAGAGAGGGTGCCAAGAAAATGGATACACAATTTAAGAGAGGAAAAAAGCTCTATTAAAATTGTAATGCACACTCTCTCTCTATATATAGAGGATTACAATACCTGATTATGTACATATATATTCATAGCAAAAGATGAATACAATCACATCACGTTTGAACACCTTGTCCTTGCAGGAGTCAAACACGGCTTGAGTATTACAATTTTAATACTTTTTTTTCCTTTCTTGAAATGTGTGTACATTTTTTTGGCACCCTCTGTCTGTTCAAAGTCCTAGGGAACCCATAAGAGAAACTAACCAATTCTACCTGCGGGATTAGAGGAATGTTTACAGAGGAACAGCATCGATGCTGAAATTTGGGGACTAAATAGGAGCAAAAGTAGAAAAAGAGGACAGGTTCTCAGAATGACTGGAAGAGCTGGCCGACAAATGCCGAACACCGGTGGTCCTGTAACGGGAAGAGCTCTCAGTTGCGAAGATAATGAAATATGCCATCAGGGTAGAGGACGCAGCTTGAGTTTCCCAGCCTGATACTCACACCCCCACCTTGCTCTTGTTCTTCTGAATTATTGTTCTCTGGGTTTGCCTAGAGTTTTCTTTTCCAACTCTCAGACTCCTTACTTTGCCGAGAGGTGATCTCACAGGCTGGGCCTCGGAATCCCACAGGACAGATGCAGTCACAGCGTGATTCTGAGAAGACAAGGCAGAGAGTGTCAACCACCCCAGGTGCAGCAAAGAACTCCTGAAGCTCAGCCCCCCGCACCCCTGAATTTCCACTGGGTTATGGCAGAGTCTAGATTTAGTTGGACAGCTTGCAATAAGCTGGTCCAGTGCCCAGAATACCTCCTGCTTCCTTGAGGGTCCTATGCCATGAGAGGGTGCTTGCTTCCATCCCAGGGAATCCCAGGGATTTGTTGAGGACAAGCCCTCATCAGCTGACCTTTGACCCAGACATTCAAGCTTTTAAGGTCAGAAGCTACACTGGTAGTCACAGAGGCCAGTCATCACTGATGTTCAACTTCATCACAGGGGACTGTGCAGCCTCTGCCTGGAAACCTCTAGGCCGGGAACCCCCTACCCTTAGATGTCTCCTCCTACCTTTGGCCAGCTCAGACTCTTTGGAAGTGATTCCCTGTGCTAATTTGCAATCTGCAGTGGAACTCCCCGTCTGGATCACACGGAACCTCTATCTGGGATTGTCCTTCACAGGTCAGGGCCTAGGAGCACCCTAGCCTCTGGCCCCAGATTTTCCCTCACCTCCTCCCTCTACCCCACAGCCTCAAGTGGGTCCCAGATTCTAGGTCCAAATTGCACACGAGGCAAAGGGGATTTCATCAACTCTAGATGCCAACCTGGAGCTGATGAGCTGATCCTGCTTGTAGGGAACTGACCCCGCATAGCTGGCCTTGTGCTGGTGGCAGAACTTCAGGCCTTACACTGTCACTTGTGTCTGCCTTGACCAGAAGCATCCTGTCCAAGAGGCCAGAGGCAGAGTCCTCAGTCCCAGCCTGGCAACGGGAACCCTTCTGCCTGAGAATACACCTTCTCTTATGTCTCCTCTGTTGATCTTGCTCTGGCTACATGGGCTGTCCTGATTCCAGCTGGCTCCCGTCCTTGCCGTAACCAGCTGCCCCTGTTTTGACTGATGGACTGAAGTCCCCTTTGGAGTCTTGCTAGCCTATCACAATGGGAGCACATGCTCCCAGGACCTCACCCCTCCCAGTGAACCTAGATGTGACCCTTGAAGTTAACAGTTGAGTTCTAGTGGCCTGTCCTTGTTGCCACCTTCAAAATCTCACCACATACGAATGTGCCAATCAGGACATGTATAAAAGGGTTCTCTGGCTCAGCCCAGGCCCACTTCTTTGAAGATTAGAGATTTTCTGCGTCTGTCCCCACGCCTTAGTGTGCCTCCCACCTCAGCCTGCTGCTGTTTTCAGCTTAATTCTGCTATCACCTGCTGTGACAGCCAGACCAGTTGCCCCTAGGTGCCACCTTCAAACAGAGGGCACAGAGCCTCCTCCAGATCAGAGCTCCTCCGGGGTTAACAGCTGCCCAAAACGCTACCTTTCAGGACAGGCACTCCGTTCCCGTGACACGGGGCACAGTGGCAGGGGCTGAATTCCCTCTGGAACTCCTCCAGGGCCTGCTTCATGTTCTGCTTCACTGTGCTGGAAAAGGCGAAGTCTGTGGCCGTCACCAGTTCATACAGAGGCTCCACCTGGAAAGAGGGAGGACAGGCATTTCTTAGAGAGAAAACGGGTATCAAACGAAACTGTGACATCAAAATGAACGGGAACAGCCGGAAAGTCAGCGCAGGGAGGTAGGTCCACATGGGTCCACCTGGAGCTGGCTGGATGCTGTGGCTCGCAGAGCGGGGCACCATCCTCTCTGCCTCCCCCCCACCTAATATGCAGAAAGCTCATTCAAACTCAGGTCAACCAACACTTTCTGAGCACCTACTAAGTGCTGGGCAGTAAGCACAATTAAAAGGAAGATAAATTCCCTCCTTTCCAAGAACCAGAATGTTGACACACAGATTGAGAGAGAGATGCCAATCAATGATCGCAGCACAGTGGTCACAGGTGACAGCTGAAACTTGTAGAGAGAAGCAGGACAGAGGTAGAGAAGGGTGGATGGCTCATTTATCTTTGGCGTGGCAGAGAAGGTGATTTCCAGAAGCTCTTTGAAAATAATACTATCATCACTACCTTCTCCAAAGTTATCAAAATTACTGTACCATGCAAGGGCCACCGTCAGGAAACCTTTCAGGAACTCCAGAGCTCCCAGAACGTCTTCTGTCCATGAAGTACTCCAGGTACTGCCTGCCCTGCTCATCGGGTACAAAGTCTGTGTTTCTGCCGGCTCCTTTTTCTTTACAGTCATTAACTTTTTCTTTTCTTTTCTTCTCCTTTTTTTAACTTGCAGAGGCGTCTTGTTTCCTTCTCTGATTGGATCATAAGCCCTCAGAGATCAGGATAATGTTGTGGCCCCGTGTGTGGAGGGTGCAGCCCCCCTGAGCGGGTCAAGGGCTGGAGGTAGGAGGATGGACGGATGGATGGATGGATGTCCTCATCAGGCATCGGCAGCAGACACAGAAGATGAAACAGAAGAGGGTGGTCAGTGGGTGCGCGTGACAGTATTGAGAGGAAGAAACCACGGATGGATATGGCGATGTTTGTAAGTTAGGAAAACAAGAGGCATTGTCTGAAGACGTAGATTAAAATGCTGGATTCCTCTCAGCTTCTGTGTCAACCCCAGGGCCAGGTTCTAAAGACCCGAGAGGCAGTTAAAAATGCTCAACTTGGAGCAAGTGTCACTCCAGGGCCAGCTTCCTCTCCGGATTTTGTTGGCGATCCGCCCTAATCCAGCCCTGGAGAGTTTAGGGTCTGACTAAATGCAGGCAATCACGGCTAATAGAAGCCTCCAGTGGGAAGAAAATTGCTTCCATTTCTTAATGCATCTGACACTGACCTTCGCTCCAGTGGGCAAAGCAAGGCCCCTCGGTGGTCCCATTGTCTCACCGTTTTGTGGTCAATGAATTGATCCAGAGGCTGTTTGCAGAATCCTCCAGCCTGCTGGCTGCAGGTGGGAAGGAGAGCAGGGAGGAGGGGGGGCAGCGTGTCGTATCGTACACCAGTGAAGAACTCCTCCTACTGTCCGCCTTTGCTCCGGAAGCACCTTGCAGTCTGCATTTAACCACTAAAGCGTTTTCCTACCAGCACTGAGATTCACTTCGGTAGACAGAGCAAATCAGTACCCAGACTGGGAGAAAACGTCCACATACGCTGTGTTCCGGGAGTTGTGTAGAAGTCTACAACTGTGATCCCACTGGCTCCTCACCAGGGAGCAATTATCAGCCCCGGTGACAGGTGAGGTGAAATCACTTGATCCAGGTCACACAACCCATAAATAGCATGACCACGATTCTAATCCCAAGCCTGGGTTTTCCCTTCTAGCTCATAATGATTATTGATAAAAACGTCCTGATTATTCCCAGTTACAATCTCTTATCCCAGGACTCTCCAAATGCTGCAGGCTGCATTTTGCCTTGGAATGGCCCTAACCCCTCAGGACTCCACAGTTCACTTTTCAACTTAATAAAGCACATTTATCTGTTCTTTGGTTTGCTGTTCCTTTTTTTCCTGTCTTTTCCCTCCCATCTTCCTCCCTCCTTCCTGATTTCCCTTCCTCTTCCTCTTTCTTTTCCACTTCTCCCCAAGATACGCAATCCTAACCACTCACGTGGCTCGTAGGGTCCTTAACACTCCCACCCTGTGAAAATTTTCTTTATCATATAGATGGTGGGCGCCATCTATTAAATACCACGCAGGTCTCTGGAGAGGACCTTGGGGTTCTTGGTGATCACAAGTAGTTATTGCCACAGCCAGCATTTACCAGGCACTAAATTCGATACTTCACATACCTCATACCTTAACTAACAGTCCTCGCAACAATCTAACGAGTCACGGTGATCTTCTGTTTCCTCATTGGACAGAAGATAAAGTTGTAGCACAGAAAAGTTAAGTGTCCTGACAAAAGTCACACAGGAGTAAGTGGTGGGAAAGGATTGGAAATGTCAACACTGTGGTCTGTCTCCTTTCAGGATAAATTGTTTTGGTAACTAGACGGACGTATCCAGAGGACGGATAGGTGGATACTTAGACTAAGTTGGTGGTGTTAGTGCAGTTTGACATCTCGCTTTTTCACTTGACATCCAAATGTGAGCGTTTTCCCTTATGAGTCAATATACGTTGAGAAAGTAATTTTTCGCGGCTTCAGAGTCATTGTATGGATGAACCAGAACATGCTCAACTCTTCCCCGGTTATCGAGCCTTTAGAAAATGTCCTCTTTCCTTTCTCCTCTTGCTACGACAACCAATAAAATAACACCTGTCTTTCGGGAGGCACCTGTGGCTCAGTGAGGAGGGTGCCGGCTCCATACACCGAGGGTGGTGGGTTCAAACCCGGCCCTGGCCAAACTGCAACAACGACAACAAATCCATGTCTTTATACACACATACCAACTTTTCAAATGATTTCCTTAGTATATTCTTGCCTTGGGGGTTACTGGATTACAAGGAACCACCATTTTTAATATTCTGGATATCTCTGCTTAATTCCTTTCCTAAAGAGTTGTATCAGATTATATTGTGACTCTCTTTTACAAAAGTGCCCATCTCATTGCTTCTATTATAGATTTTTAACCATCGTCAATTTGATAGGTAGAAATTTTTTTTTTTAAATTTCAAAACCATCGTTTTAAATTGTAGCATGACTTCTGCTTTCATTTTTTTATTACTACAGAAGCTAAACATTCCGTGGAGTTACCGGCCAACTGAGAGACGTCCATTGCCTTTAAAATGTTCCTTTCTTAGGAATAGTATCATTCCGCACATAAAAAAGATTGTATTTGTTGCAGAATTATTTTGTTGTGGTATGTTATCTACCCTTGAGTTATATGCCTGGTTTTCTTATTAGAAATTCAGAATTTATTTTTGTGGATGGATGTATCAGGCCAGATCCTACCATAATGTCTGTATTTTATGCCTTCTCTTGGCTGGAGTCACTTGCTTTTAGAAAATCCTTAAGTAATGTGCTTTTAGAAAGGTGTGATGGTCATTATCACTGCTTATCAAATATTCAGCTTCTTTTCCTTCTGGACACGTGGTGGGGCTACAGGTCCTGACTTCACTGAAGGCAGGTTGTAGTGTGACTTATTCTAAACAGTGGAAAGGTCAGCAGAAGAGCACGTCACTTCTAAGGTAGAAAATTTCAGAGAAGAGCTGAAGTGTCCCCCTTTTTGATCACTGGTGATCTTGGAAGGATGTGACAAGGTGAGGGCCCCACCATCTGGATCCCTAAGTCACTGCGTTGAGCAGCCATTGCAATTTGGGATTGTTTCTCTGAAGCACGATGTCGGCTATCCTGACCTCTGTGTGAGCACCATTCGCTGCCTTACTTTCCCCCTCTGTTCTGTGCATGACAGACATATTTCTCACACAACACCATTAGCGTGGGTCCAGCCTCCAATGCAGCTACACTGCCCACTGCAGAAACAGACACAGGCTTTGTGACTATGATTACCAGCCACATGCAGGACACTCATTTCTATCTGAATATCAGATAAACAACAAATAGTTTTTTAGTATAACTATGTCCCGGGCAATATCTGGGAGATGCTCACATTGAAAAAACCATCCCTTATTTATGTGAAATTCAAATGTAACTGGACATCTCTCATTTGCTAAACCTGGCAAGCCTTTAATACAACGGACCCTCCATAGCTGACCGCCTCCCTACCCCAACCACCTCCTTAAATTGACCTAATTGGCACAGACTGGGCAGGCACCTTTTAACCTATCAGCACAGTAGGCCAGTAGGCCTAGTTCCTTATGTCGTCTGCCTTTGTGTGTTGACAGTTTGTTACAGTGTCTTGGATGGTCACCTTACAAAGGTTCAAAATGTCTTTGAAATTCTTGACCCATTAATGACCATGTCCTTGGGCCACATGTCTTTCCTGCAGGACCTCACAGGTGTTTGCTCCTTTCGCTACAGGCATTTCATGCTGCAAAGAGTTCTAAGACTGGGTTCACGTTCCCCCTGTAGGATATATTTCAACATTTCATTAGGATGTGTTTCCAGGTTGCTTTGTTTTCAACACTTCTGCTTTGTCCCCAATGATCTGCTCATTATGTGCGATCAGCTCAGGGGAGTTTCTGGTACTGTGTGCTTGATTCACGCGTCTTCACCTGGAATCTTCTCTTCCGTAGGAAGAAGCCCCTGGGTTTCAGCTTTCTGCTTCTGCCCATCACATTTCTTTCCTGGTATTGTTTGAACCTCTTTGTCTTCTGCCTCCGCATTGTGAGAACTTCTCACAGCACCTTCCACATCACTGACTCGATTTTCTGCAGCGTCAATTCTGTCGAGCTTCCGACGTAGGTTTTAATGCTGCTATTGTGCTTCTGCTTCCCCGTACTCAGCCACGTCCTTTTCATCGGATTGGTGTCCAAACACCTCAGCTTCTACTTTTTATTTCATAAATTCCTCTTTTTCTTTGGTTTTGTTATAATCACCAAGTAAACACATGCCACAATTTACGTCTACGTTTCAATGTTTTAGACATATCCTCATTTTCTACATCTTGAACGTAGTTCTAATCTATTGTGTTTAAACATCTCTTTAGATATCCACTGCCATCTGCGACGTCTTCTTGGAACAAAAACCCACCTCCCTACGTCTAAAGTTTTCCTCTGAGCACTGCGAGTGCACATCTCTGCTGTCTCCAGCCCCGCTACTTTGCTTCTAGAGAAATCATTTTTCAGACCTTGATCTTGGAGACTGGTTTTTGTCATCAAGCCTTGGCTGAAACTCTTACTTCCAGGAACTGCTCATCTCGGCGCTCTGCTGTGCTGAAGCCGGTTGCCACTCCAGCTGCCTGGTAAGTTGGCTTTGCAGGGACAGATGACAGCGGCATGATGTGGAGGCACCTGTGGTTTTATCTCACTGGAGCAGAGTACAGCGAGAGTGGGCTGCCCAGGGCACGTGTTTCCCACTCAGCGGAGGAAGGTGCGGAGGTCCACGACCGCCGTCACCTCTCCTGCTTCTGCCACTCCCACGACAGTCCTGAGAACATCTCTGAGTCTCTGACACAGCCCACATCACCTCCTGTGTGCCACTTGCCATTTCCAGAGCCAGGGTGGCATCTGCACCTATCCGGGTACCAAGGCATTCCCCTGCTTCTCAGATTTTAGAAAACATTCAGATAAGGTATCTCAGTAAAAGGTAAGGATCAGTGATCTGTTTTCCCTTTGCACTCTCAGCCCTTTCCCTTGTCATCTGTGATGCCAACCAGGGTCACCATGGCATCAGCTAATCCCAGATTTCTCTGCAATTGTCTGCGACTTGGCTGATTTTACCCCTCTGTGCCAGCACCTATATCATGAGTGCTGTTGCTAAGTAAGTTCAGAGAACAGGTCTGATGGCACTTTCTTGTTTCTCAGAAACTATGCATGTGAGAGAAAAAGACACCAGGGAAATTTCCAGTGTCTCTCCTCAGCGTTCCAGCCCCTCCACCTCCCACCACCTTGACTGCAAGCTGAGTCTCTGGGGGATGGACACTGGCCCATCAGTGACTGGACAGACACCGCAAGAAGAGGAGGGTGTGGGACATGCTCTGGGGCCCACGCAGACGTCCCCACAGGCGAGGACCTACCGTGCTGACGGGTCTGACAGTCCTGTTCTAATAGATGTCCTTCTAGCTTAACATCCCAAAACTCCTGTTGTTTGGGTGACAGGTGGTTAGGATCATTATTTTCTTATTCCCCAAACCCACAGGGAAGTCTAGAGGGGAGAAAAGGGATCCAAATCTTCTTTCCGGATCTAACAGAGAGTCCTGAGCAGCCACAGATGGAGACAACCTCTCTGACCCTGGACTTCATTGGCAGAATATTATGAAGATTAGATGAAAGAATGTTTCTAAAGCCCATGGCCGAGAGTCAGTAAGTGCTTAAAACATATTTGCAATTATCGTGGCGTCTTGTCCTGCCCTGTGCATCTTACCGTTCATCCTGGACCCCAGTTTTTCATCCTTGCAGACTTCTCTGCTCTCCTCCGGCACCCTATTTCTTACAACATAGGAAGAACTTAGTAGCTATTTGTTGGTTGACAACAAATGAATGTTTAAATGAACAAATAACAGAATGAGTGATTCTCTAATGAAATGGAAAAACTATGAATCTGAGAAGGCTAAAATTAGAAGCTGATGGTTAATTCCTTTAGTAACTTGGCGGGAGGGAATTCGGGCTCTCCAGGTGGTACTGAGCAGTGTATCATAACCTGTGTGTCCCAGACATACTTGCTACTGTAGCGTCTATGACTCAAACAAGGACCTGCCTCTGAATGAACTTCACGTTCCATACCCCGGCTTACAGGAGGCCCTTGGAAGCTGTTTTTCGCACAGAGGGAAGAACAGGGAAAGTGGCTTTGTGTACCTTAACCTTGATGGGTAAAGCAGCTCTGTGTGCCTTAACCTTGACGGGAAAGCGGCTCTGTGTGCCTTAACCTTGACGGGGAAAGCGGCTCTGTGTGCCTTAACCTTGACGGGAAATCGGCTCTGTGTGCCTTAACCTTGACGGGGAAAGCGGCTCTGTGTGCCTTAACCTTGACGGGGGAAAGTGGCTCTGTGTGCCTTAACCTTGACCGGGGAAGCGGCTCTGTGTGCCTTAACCTTGACGGGAAAGCGGCTCTGTGTGCCTTAACCTCGACGGGAAAGCGGCTCTGTGTACCTTAACCTTGACGGGGGAAAGGGGCTCTGTGTGCCTTAACCTTGACGGGGAAAGCGGCTCTGTGTACCTTAACCTTGACGATGGCCGGGTTGTACTGCACTGCGTCTCCCCACTCCTGCATCAGGTCGGCCGTCGGCAGCGCCTTGTAGGCCAGGGCAGTGATGTGCTCACTTGCCCCTCCCCGTACCAGGACCACCAAGTCCTCCACCATGGTGCTCCTCTTGTTCCTGTCTGGGATGGACACCAAGAGTCATCAGAGGATCCACTTTTATACTCCAGAATTTGCTACAACCCAGCCAATAATTTGGTTACTCTGTGCCTATAGGCCGTGCACCTGTCTTCTTCAGAGAAGTTTCTATTCAAATCTCTTGCCCACAATGAGATGGGATCACTTGTTCTTTTCTTGGTAATATATTTGAGTTCTCTGTGGATTCTGGTTATGAAACCTTTGTCAGAAGCATAACCTGCAAATATCTTCTTCTATTCTGAGGGCTGTCTGCTTGCTTTACTTACTGTATTCTTGGCTATTCAGAAACTTTTTAGCTTTATCAGATCCCAGTAATGTATTTTTGGTGTTGTTTCAATTGCCCAGGGGGTCCTCCTCAAAAGGTATTCTCCTAGGCCAATTTCTTCGAGAGTTTCCCCTGTACTCTTAAGTGTAGAATATAAATGTCTTAACACAATAATTAAAAAGTGTGGTGAAGGCTATGTTAACCAGTTTGCTATATTTCAAATTGTGTATAAAACCAGCACACTGTACCCCATACATGCATGAATGTACACAGCTATGATTTAATTTTTAAAAACTTAAAAAAAATAAAAAAATTATAATTTGGTTACTCTGGTTATTTCCTGAGCTTGCCTGGGAGACATGGGTGAGAAAGACACTTCCCTGCTTACTGGGCGGTCACAGTGCCCAGGACAAAAGGGACACTCACGCCCGACTCCATATAACACCAACTGGGGCAGGATAAAGGAGGGGGTATTGACCTTGAGCTTCTACAAAGCACTAGTCACTGGATGAGTTTGTGGAAGACAGGGAGATGGTAGATTAGTTAGATAGACAAATAACCAGATAATAGACACATAGGTAGACAGGTAGATAGATAATAGTTTGGTAAATAGGGAGAATGGCAGATTATAATATTTTCTTTTCCTGACACCAATTTTATGTGCCAACACCACTAGCTTTCCTTCACAAATGATGGAACTCAGACCTGGAATTTGTAAGTCACTTGTCCAGCCTCATACAGCTAGTGGCTGATGCAGCTTAATTTTAAACTATTTCTGCCTGGTCTCCTCACCACCACGTCTGGGTCTCATAACTTTCCCTTCACCAAACTGGTTCCTGCTGACGGAGCGGAGCGAAGCTCGTGCGGCAGAAACTGAGCTCACCTTCTCACCCCGACCCTGTGCACCTTCTCCAGGCGTGGACCCCGCACGGACTTTGGCCTTGCTGTCTTGGAAAAGTCACTCATAGAATGTGAGATTTCCCTTTTCCTCCTCTATAAAGAGGATTCTCTGTATCCATGTAAAGAATACATGTCACTGTCACAATGATAATGATAATTGTTGATTATTCCTGCACGTCACTGTGGCTCGCGTGTGAAACTCATTTAATAGTCACTACAAAACAGGAACTATGTAATCTTCACTAAGCTAAGAGTACAGCTAAGAGGTCTGGGAGAGGGGAAGGACTTGCCAGACAGTCCGGCCCAGACCCCAAGCTAAGAGGTTGGAAAGTAAAGTTTAAGAATTCATCCTAGAAAACGTGCTCCATCCTTCATTGCTGATATTACTACGGTCACCTTGGACGTATTCTGATCAGAAGCTGTGCGCCGACCCCGGCTCCTAGTCCACCCTTCAAAGCAATTTGGGAACTCTTGGTTTGGAATGGCCATCAGAGCTGTCGTCTTACAGAGGCCTAACCATGAAGTGTGTGAACTCATCCTAGGAAATGTGCTGCCCACCTCACTGCTGAATATCACTGTGGTCACCTTCAAAGTGCTCCACGTGGCCATCTGGTCATGACAGTGATATTTAGCAATGAGGTCAGTAGCACTTTCTCTAGGAGGAGTTCACAAACTTAATTGTCAGACCCTGATTATCACTTCTTTATGTGAGATAACAGACATGGGGAAATTTTAAAGGCTGTGCTCAGGTGCTCAGGTGCTCTGTGAGCAGTGGCTACTATAAAGGGATCATTATTTCCACTTCTCAGAAAGTTGCTCAGAAAGCTCTCGGGTATACCAGTCAGCCACTCCCATTCTAACGGGTCTGTGTCTCCAGTCCCAAAAGAGCTGGTATACAACCTGTTCCACATTTGAGCCTGCAATATTTGAGCATAAAAAAAAAGAGAGAGAGAGAGCGAGAGAGTCTGGTGTACTGCTGGTAGGCGCATAAATTGGTACAAGGACTTTAGAAAGCAGTGTGGCACTGTCTGCTCAAGAAAACAAAGTTCCACCCTCTACAGCCCAGCAATTCCAGTCCTCCGTCTACTCTCAGGAATAACACTTGTAACATGCACCAGATGGTTAGGGAACATGTCGGCCACAGGCCAGTGCAGAGGCTCAGACCTGTAATCCCAGCACTCTGGGGGCCCAAGGGGAGGAGATTGAGCTTGAGCTCAGGAGTATGAGACCAGCCTGAACAAGAGCAAGAGCAAGACCCTGTCTCTAGTAAAATATAGAAAAGTTAGCCAGCTATTGTGGCAGGCGCCTCTGGTCCCAGGTACTTGGGAGGCTGAGGTAAGAAGATTGGTCAAGCCCAAGAGTTTGAGGTTGCTGTGAGCTGTGATGCTGCAGGATTCTACCCAGGGAGATAGAATGAAACTCCGTCTCAAAAAAAAAAAAAAAAAAAGAGATGTCCACAGTAGCATTGGCCATAATTGTTTGCAAGTAGATAACTCGAATGTTCCTCTACAGTGGAATGGACCAGGAAAAAGAGGCAGGTGCCCACAATAAGATAGGGTGCAGCAAAGGGAGTGGACTAAACCATAGTTACACATAAAACAGTATTGGGAGTGGACTAAACCATAGTCACACATAAAACAGTATTGGGAGTGGACTAAACCATAGTCATGCATAAAAGCGTGATGACAAATGAAAAATGCAGGAATAAAAAGATTGCGTTCAGTTGAAAAGCAAAGCACTATTCCGCCGTATTGGCTAGTGATACATGTAGGTGGGAAAGCTACAAAGGAAAGAAGGACATATTCAGTACAGAAGTTGGGATAACAGTTATCCCCAAAAGGAGAGAGGCATTGTAGCCAGCCAGGGGTTTGGGGGTGCTGGGCCACGTTCTGCTTAGTGACCTGGATGGGGAGCCCTGGATGGTCCTCTTGAAGGAGCACCTACGTTTGACGCGTGCCTCCCTCCGTGTGAAGTGCCTTTCATCCCAGCCCCTCCAAAACAAACAAACAAAATACAACACCAGCAAGTCACCCGCAAGGGCAAAACATTGTGTGGGACTAGCAGGTGATTTTTCCGGTGGTTGTTTTATTTTGTTTTGTGTCCACTGTGGAATTTTTCCTTCACATGTAATTCCAGGCCCACGCTCAGGAAGCAGGGCAGGTGGGGGCAGAGCGGCTTGGGTGCAGAAGGACTGGCACTGCAGTGCTGCTGCTCAGCCGTGGGGACCCCGCGGCAGGACGTGTGGGTCTGCCTGCTCTGCTAGTCTTCACGTCACCCATGATCTCAGGGGAGAGCTAGTCCCCTCCACCTGCTCCCTGCCCCAGCACCCTGCCTCAGGCCAGGACAACTCCCAACCCCGAGGATAGATTTACAAGGCTTAGGTTCTTTCCCCTGCCCATAACCCGCCTCATTCTGCACTGGGACATTGTTGAGCGTGGCCATCCCCTCTTTAATTATTTGTCTACCTCACATGACCGCTATGAGGATGAGAATTCAATCCCATTTATTTTTGCTTACTTCACTCTTAGTAGGAACTTGGTATACATTTATTCAAAGAACCATTATCTGAACTGAAATATTAAGGCCTTAGAATATCGAGTCTTTAGCTTGAGGAAAGCCCGGGACCAGAGGTGCTGGGGGGGGGGGCGGAGATTATAAGCCCAGAAATCCACGAGCCCCAGGCCCACTCACCTTTGATCTCATTGAGGATAGCCCTGCACTTGCTTTCTGACACGCCCAGCCTGACGTAGACATCTTCAATGGCAGCACCAAGTTTAAAATCGTATTTGGCACAGGCGTGCACGTTGCTGAGAGAATAATCTGAAAGAGGCAAGGACAGAAGGGTGTGACCTGAAAGATGAACACTCCCCTTTCCTGGGACCAGCCCCAGAATTCTGGCCCTTTCTGGGTCACACAAGGATTCAGGTTCAAATTTGTGGGTCACAAGGCTGATGACCAGAAGTGCAGAAAGGTACTGGCACCAGGGCAGAGACTTCCAGGGTTCAGACTGGACTTCCCCTTTTCAGCCTCCTCCCAAGACTCTCTGAAGATGTTTACTGCACTCCAAAGAGGGGAAATATTCAGCATCATTGTCTAAAGAACTGACTCCTTGTCATGCTCCTAGGGCAGGATCCAATAGGAGGCTGCTGCCTTGTGCCCGCTCTCCACTGACTCACTTTCCTCCGCACTTGGATAAGGTAGAAAGAGCTGTTAATCAGTCAACCAAGGGAATGCGCATCAGATGTCTGGGGTATTTATTACCTAGCAAGGAGAGAGAGCCCATTTCCCTGCCTTGGTCTTCCTCTGGGGATTGTTCCCCACTTGCTTCCTCCCTAATTCTCCCTGAGGCGTCCTGCTCCCCTGCTCTTTCTGAAATCTCAGACACAACTTGTAAGCCCCTTCCTGTAGCCCTCTGAGGCCAGCACAGGGAGAGAAGAACAACTTTGCCAACTAGGGTTATTCAACAGTGTCGTTGGGGGCTGGTTTTTGCCAAAGTATATTGTTAAAACATGGATCCCATGAGCTAGTAGCAGGTGTGATAAGAAAAAGAGCTAGCTTGGTGCCTGTGGCTCAAGTGGCTAAGGTGCCACCATACACCTAAGGTGGCAGGTTCAAATCCAGCCTGGGCCGGCCAAAGAACAACGATGGCTGCAACCAAAAAAAATAGCCAGGCACTGTGGTGGGCACCTGTGGTCCCAGGTACTTGGGAGGTGGAGGCAGAAGACTCGCTTGAGCCCAGGAGTTGGAGGTTGCTGTGAGCTGTGATGTCACGGCACTCTATCCAGGGGGATAGCTTGGGGCTCTGTCTCCAAAAAAAAAAAAAAAAAAAATAGAGCTTCCACAGTTACTTGCATAAGACAAATATTGCATTAAAAGAAGTGGAGAGGTCTTTTACTGCAGCACATTTGTGAAATTCTAAAAGTGGGGTTTCCTATGAGTTTCCCTCACTGACAAAACCCTTTTGTGGGGAGCAATTTGAAACTACAAGAGGCACTTTAGAAACCACTGTTATGGAGGAAGTTGACCTTGGTCTTGGCAAGCCTGAGGCCACACTGACATGAATTTATATCATACACCATTTAAGTACATTGGCCTTCTCACTAAGCCCCATATCTGCCATGGCGATCTGTGTGACCCAGACAAGTTCACTCAACACGAGAGCCATGTTGTAGGAAAGAATATTGTATTGGAAACCAGGACCCACACCATAGACATGGGGCTGACTACAGTCAGCAAGCCCTGGGATAACTCAATGGAGAATGGATTATAGGGCAGTATGGGGGTTGGATATTAGTTTAGAGACTAAGTGACAGTGTGGTCTATGGCTGGCAGCAGCATCACCCCAAATCTTGCGAGAAACTCAGACGCTGGGGTTTCACCGCAAACCTATCAGATCAGAACCTGCCTCTTCCAAGATTCATACCTAAGTCCCATCAACATTAAAGTTTGAATGTGGTGCTTTCACCATGGGGTGAGTTTACAGTGGTCATAGTAAAAATAGAAAATACTGTATTTCCTATGGGCATAAAGAAAAGTTTATGTTTTTGGCATAAAGTTGATGGGCCTTGCTCTCATGGATTGGAAGGGAAGAAAGTTAATCAAAGCTGACTCCTACGTTTTTGGCCTCAGCCACTGGTTAGATGGTAGAACCATGTCTGAGGCAGGGATTCTAGGAAAGAAATATATTGGGAAAAATAAAATGAAAAGTTCTCTGGGGCGTGTTAGAGTTAGTCATGATTGTTGCAGATGAAAATGAGATGGTGAGAAGGCATTTCAGGCTGGGGCCGGTGGCTCACGCCTGTAATCCTAGCACTTTGGAAGGCTGAGGCAGGAGGATCGGTCAAGCACAGGAGGTCAAGACCAGCCTGTTTTCTTTTGTTGTTTTTTTTGTTTTTGTTTTTTTAAGACACAGTTTCACTATGTCACCCTGGACAGAGTACTGTGGCATCATAGCTCACAGCAACCTCAACCTCTTGGGCTCAAGTGATTCCCTAACCACAGCCTCCCAAGTAGCTGGGACTACAGGTGCCACAATGCCCGGCTAAAGACCAGCCTGAACAAGAGCAAAACTCTGTCTCTACCAAAAATAGAAAAAAAATAGCTGGGTGTGGTGTCTGGGGCCTATAGTCTTGGCTTCTTGGGAGGCTGAGGTAGGAGGATTGCTCAAGTTCAAAGTTTGAGATTACAGTGAGCTACGATAACACCACTGTGCCCCAGACAGGCCAACAGAGCAAGACTTTGTCTCAAAAACAAAAACAGAAGTAAAACCAAAACAAACCAAGGCATTAGGTGCAGGGAAGAGGCCAGGAAGGGTGGTTACATGAATTCAGAGTTATCTGCATTTAAAGGCTGGGGGCTGGTATTAACAAGTTAAAAAGAGCAGGAAGAGGAATCTGCCGCTGAGCCTGAGATGGTATAGCACGGAGATAGAAAGAAAATCAGAAGTACAATTTATGACTCTTCCCCCAACTACAGATATCAGCTTTTCCCCGTCCACTCACTGCTCCCGGTGCCCCGCCAGGAAAGCCCTGGCCCCCTGGGCTGTACCTGCTCTCTCCATGGCCTCTTTGTTCATAACGAGTGTGTATTCATAAATGCCCCCGAGCACGGCCTCGGTGATGTAGTGGGTCCCAAAATCTCGGAAGAGATCTCTGTACTCCCCGTAGCCGTACTCCAGGGGCAGCCGCCGGACTCTCTGCAGGAACTCGTAATGCAGCATGAGGCTTCTGGGTTTCAGCTTGTAACGTGCAACTTCAAGGTCAGAGCGTGCGTGCAGAAACGCGCTTTTCTAAATGAAATAGCAACGGGGGAAAACCAGACCTTTAAAGTTAGAAATCTGGAACGAGAAGATGAACTTTACAAATACCATCCAGTGCTCTGAGCCTGGGGTCATCACTCTCCTGATTCCTTTAGGGTACTTGAGGGAAGACAGCCCCTTTGACAAACTCTGGGTTCTCATAAATATTCTGACATCATTTTCAGCTTGGGAGAGCTCGCTCTTCATTCACCTCCTTACTGCGGCGAGCAAGGACTGTTAAGGGTAACAGGCGGCACATGGGGCCACTCAGATGGGCCACAGGCTCTGCTAACCTGCGCGGGCATGTGCTTTGGAACGGCCGGCTCCCGCACGGTGGGCAGGAGTCAGCAAGCTATAGGCTGCTCACCGTACCGGAGCCTGCTCTTGTAAGTCAAGTTTTATTGGGGCGTAGCCGTGGCTGTGTGTCTATGTGGTGTCCGCGGCTGCCGTCTCCCCACAATGGCAGAGGAGTCCTGAAAGAGACTCTGCAGTCCCGCATATCCTAAAGATTGTACGATCTCTCCCTTTGCAGAAGACGGTTGGGGACCCTTGACAAGTGGGATAAACTGAAAGTTAGCAAAGCTTGATGAAAGATACGCGACTTGGAGGTTTGATGCAACCGGAGGTGCAGGGAGGGGAGAAGGGGGAGGCGGGAAAGGTGAGTGGGGCACACTCTGGCCCAGTCCTAAATCCTGCAGGTCTCTAAAGCCACGCCAGCTCCGCTGGGCTCCGTCTCCCGGGCCCCTCACCTCGTTTCCTGGCTCTCCCCCTTCCCCTTCTGCCCTGCCCTTGTCCTTCCCACCTAACAGTCACTAGGTCCTCTTGTCATCATTACTGTTGTAAATGTTACATCTCTTCTCACTTCTTTCCTCCTCTCTCTTCTTTCTCTGCCTTCAATGACCCAATCAGAGTCAATGTCCTAAAATTCCGGTTTAGGTGGTTAACACTTAACCCCCAAACCCTGCACGCCTCACTGTTGCCTCCGGAAGAGAACCAGCTCCCTTCCTTTGATTATAAGACCAGCACCATCTGTTCCCCAGCTGCCTCTCTGGCTTCAGCGTCTAAACCTGACGTTGTCCTCTCCAAACCTGATTATTTGCCACCAACCAACCACACCGTCTATCCGTGGTATTCAACTTTTCTCTATTCTCTAAACCTGCTGTTCTCTTTCATGATGCAATTTTGCACACGCAGTCCCTTCCCCCTGCAGTGTTCTTTCCACCTTTCTGCCTGACACATCCCTACTCAGCCAGCGCCTCCTATTTGATACCAGCCCTGATTGTCCCACTCACATTCCCTGTTCTAGGATTGAGCCATGCTTGCTGGTATTTCCTTCATAGCCTGTGCCATGCCTCCTCACAGCTGCTACAAAGAATTGAGAATAGTGTCTGGTGACGTGCCTCCCTCTCCTGCTCGACTGAGGATGTGAAGGCAAGAATCACTGAGGGTCCTACTCCCTAGGGGAGGTACAGTCGGCAGGGTCCTACTCCCTAGGGGAGGCACAGTCGGCAGGGTTCTACTCCCTAGGGGAGGCACAAGTCGGCATCCTGTAACTGCCCGATGGAATCAGGGGAGAGAAGGAGAAAGAAAGGGCGTGAACAGAGGGCACTCTTATTGTCCCTCCTAACCAGGTAAGCCTCTTTGATCAGTCCACAGGTCCTTCTTGAGCACCTGTTCGGTGCCATTCTGAGTCTACAGAAGGAAGGGTAAGTTTCTGCACCCAAGAAGTTTACAGCCTGGAAGATGAAGAAAAAACAAGCAGAGGTAGTTATAGTCTAACTAATGTCTGCCATGCATTTGCTGCTGGTAACTATTTTGGCAGCAGAGATATTTCCGAGCCTATCACCATGAAACACTGAGACCTTCCAGGCTCCATCTCTCCCACATCCCCTTCCGATTAATTTTCTATCACATCATGACTATTGAAAACTCTTAGTGGCTAGAAAATAAAATGTATCTTCCTCGCCCTGGAATTCAAGGTCCCTCAAATCTACCTGTCACCTGCTTCTCCATCTTCATGTCCTGTTTTTTTCCCACTCTGATCACCTCTCTTCCATCGCATCAGGGTTATGCCTTCTTGGCAATCAGAAGCAGGTGATGTAAAGGATTAGTAGTGCAGAAACATTTCTCAGGCAGCACATGCCCGTGAAGGGTCAACGGGGGGAGATGTAGGCCGTTTAGTGGAGCAGAGCCAGAGATGAAAGGGTCAGGGTTAATTAAGGCATAATAGGAGTCAGGAAGACAATGGATGGAAGAATATTTCTGAAGGCTGTGGCGACCACAGGTGTGCTAATGAAGTGAAGGTGAGAGCCAAATCTGATTCTTCAGTTCTTAGTCGGGAAAAATAAAATGGAGGGAAAAATGTCATTAATGTGGATTGAACTGGCATGCAAGGGGCACACTGGTGTGCCATGAAAGGATCTTATGTTGCACAGAAAGAAAAATGTAAAGATAATTAAATTATTTTCAAAAGAAGTTCAACGCACAGTAAGTATATTCTTTTTTTTTTTTAAACTCTTTCTTTTTGATCAACACAATTTAAGTGTGCCACGGAAGTTCAACTATAGGTTCAAGTGCGCCATGAGATGAAGATTGAAAAACACTGATTTAGAAGGGAGAAGATGGTTTGGAGTTGTCAGCAAGGCATCCAGGTGTGTAGTTGCTCAGAAGGTGGGCAGGTGAGGCAGGTCTGGAGCTTACTAGAAAGGTGAGAAACAGCGGTGGAGGCTCTTCGCTTGCGCCTGGGACAGGAGGGAGTGGGAGAAGGGAAGATAGCCACAAATAAATAAAGAATAGGTGGGCATCTGAAACCCAGCAAGGAAGCTGACACAGAAACCAAACAGGAGCAATAGGAGAGCAATAGTTTGACCAACTCCACCAAGTGCCCTAAGGAAGAGCTCTTGAGTGACCTTCCGGAGAGGAATTTCAAGTGAATGTCTGTGACAGCAGTCACATTGCTGTGGGCTGAGAGTCTTCAGAGATGTTTTGGCAAAGCTATATCTTAAGCTCATTGAAAAACCAAAGGAAAAGCTTATTAGAATAATAAGAGAAAATAGTTCTAGAAGGCTGTCTCTGCCCAGCCTCTTTAAAAAGTTAAGTTAGTATAAGACTAAACTACTACCTTTATTTTTTGGAAAGACTTTGAAGACGACAGAAACAGGCTGTTAGAACTAACAGTAATGTGGGATAAGAATGTGTCTGTGAGCGTGAACCATCAAGAGTCCGAATTTCTCCTCCAAAACCCACATTGACATTTAGTCGCCATTATCACAGTGTTGAGAGGTGGGACCTTTAAGTGATGATTAAGTGTGGGGGTTCTACCCTTGTCAATGGGTTAATGCAATTATCTAAGGAGTGAGCTCCTGATAAAAGAGTAAAGTTCGGCCCCTTTTCCTGTCTCCCGGGCTTCCTGGTCACACGGTGCCTCCTCCTCGTTACAAGGAATCAAGAAGTCACTGGCCAGAAGCAGTCCCTGCTGTTGGACTTCACAGCCTCAGGAACCGTGAGCCAAATAAATCCTGTTGCTTTATAAAGTATCCAGACTGTGGTTTTCTGTTACAGCAACATGAAATGGACCAAGACAACATGTAATTTTAAAAGCAACAAAGATACTTACAGTATGAGAGAATCGTTTTATTCGCTTAATATAATTTTTTCCTTGGTCACTTTGTTCGTTATAGCCAAGTTCAAACACTCCCTTTATTTTAAAATCCAAACTGAAGCTCGACTGGCTTCTTGTATTCTCCATGACATTGTGTTCAAAATCCGTGTATGATTCATATTCTGCCAGGGCAAATTCATATTTGCCTTGGGTCTAAAGAAAGGAAAAAGAAAATACGTTTATTTCATATGACTCAAATCAATTCAGTACAAGCCAGTGGACGTCCACTCTACTCTCACTACATGCTGGATACTGGACTAAATGTTCTGGGTCCAGGAAATTTGGGGTCATTTCATGTTCCCACCCTCAGAGCTCTGGATGCAGGAGGAGAGACAGACCTATGCAGTAGTGTGGGCTTTAGCTGGTTTATCAGGTTGGTGCTGATTTGATTTTCCACCTGCAGAAGTACAAGAGGACACCTGGGTGTAGGCTCAGCCTCGGCCAAGGCAGGGAGGTGGGGAGGGCAGGAGGTGTTCTAGGAACTGCAAGGATTCGAGTGTGCAGAAGCAGAGAATGCAAGAGTAGGGGGAAGGGGAGGTGTTGTGAGAAGCTGCGCTGGCCCCAGAGTGTTAAGACTTCTGAACTACTTGCTCTGAAATCTGGGCTTAATCCAAAGGTGAGCCAGCAGAGGAGGAGACTGAGCCCAGGAAGACCATTCATGACAGCACAGTGGTTGGACCGGGAGGGACACAGCTGGAGTCACAGAGACCAAGCAGAGGCTCCATGAGGAGTGCAATGACAGCTGGTGAGGGTCCCGTCTACAGTAGTGGGGGGAATGAAGTGGCAGGGCAGGAAAGTGCCCTGGAGAGAACTTAGAAGAGCCATTCGCTCCAAAATCAGTGTTCATCATCCTGTGTGTGGGGGACTGCCCTGGTGGCCCTGGAGCCACCCGTCCCAGGTCACCTCCATTTCCCTTCCCGTCATCTTCTGGGCATCTGTAATTCCCCAAAGAGGACCCAACACCTAATCTGTCATGAGGGATGGCAGGTGGGGTAGTCACCAAAGCAACTGGTGACATGACATGGTCTGCAGGAAGGCTGCTGAGATCATCGCCCCACTGCCCTTCACCCGCTGGATGACCTCACGCAACTGACTTGACCCCTTTGTGCCTCAGTCCCTCCTGTGTAAAATGGGGCCATAACTGACCCTCTGGTCAGGCTTGATTATGAGGATGAGCCTCACAGGTGACGCACGGCCCAGTGCCTGGAGTGGTGATCCGAGGATGCTGGCAGTGGGGAGTGGAGACTTACGCTGCTCTGAGACTCTCCTTTGAAAGCAGAGGCTCTGAGGATGACCCTGGGCACACAGGGTCATTTGGTTCGCTGATATAATGTCTTCCTTAGCCACTTGGCTGTTATAGCCAAGTTCAAATGGAGGGCATGTTTGGCCTTATGTTGTTTTTTATTCTTTCCCGGCCAGTAAATGTAGGGGATGGGGGAAGAGGGATGGAGGAGAGGAGGGGAGGCAGCTAGCTAGCCTAATTTAGAAGTGGAAATTACCATCAAGACCCTTTCGTCCAGCCCCTCATTTTACAGACAAGGAAACCGAGGCCCAGAGTGAAAGAGGGACTTAGCCTCAGATAAAACTGGGGCCTGTGGCAGAGCCAGGCCTGGAACCCAGTGAGGTCCCATCGGGTCTCAAGTGTGTGCCCTGCGGTTTGTTCTAAACCTCACTCTGTGAGATGGGCTTCTGAGTGTGCACCTTTGTCGTTACAGAGCCTCACACCGGTGGATCACTGGGTAGCCTGGAATGCTTGGAACAATGGCAGCTTTCAGCAGGCAAGGGCCTGGCTATGATGAAAACAAGCACAGCACTGAGAGCTAAGTGTCCCTGGGACTCTCCGGAGACCAGGTGCTGTGCTAAACACACGACTGCTCACTCATCCTCCCGTGCAGGTTAGGGCCTCATAACTCCCAATTTAAAGGTAGGAAGACAGGCTCAGAGCAGTCAGGAGGGCATAGATGGTCAGGGACTGACCCTCCAAGTCTGTGCGACTCTGGGTCCTGAGCTCTCCTCTTTTGGAGGTGGCTTTTGCTGTGATGTTGCTATTATCACTGCTACCACCGCCTCCACTGTACTGCACACACCACGTCCCCTGCACGCTGAGGAGCGACAGCCTGCTGTACATACGGAGGGACTGGAGCTCAGAGAGACAAAGGGACGAGCCAACTCACAGGGCGTCCCGGCCTTAGACCCACGGCAGCCGGGTCTCCTCGAGAGCTCCCCCCACTGCCTCCTGCCTGTCACTTACTTACCTGTGGTGTGTAGCTTTCCACATTGTAAGGCTTCCTAAACTTGGTGTTCAGGATGTAATGCGGGGAGCATCCGCCAGCATAATACCTGTGATCAAGAACCGGGCCCTCCAAACTGTTGGTGAACAAATTTACCCTGTAAGCAAGGCATGGACACAGTCAGGAGGTCAGGGCTTGGCCTGTGTATCCTTGCTTAGTAGACCCTACTGAAAAATTCCTGGGCACAGCATTCAAGGGCCTCGATATCATGTCCAAACCGGCTCTTCCAGCTTCATCTCTGGCTACTCCTGACCATGACCGTGTGTCCAGACCCCAGCCGTGTGGCTCTTGCTCCGGTCTGCTCTGTTCTTTCGACAGTGAATGCTGTTTTCTGGCCCCATAATGCCCTTCTGGTATTTGCTGTTTTATCTTCTGCCTGTCTGTCAAAATTGAGCTCTACTATCACGTACAGTGAGACAGCTCCACTGACACCTGTCAGCCTGGACCCCACCCTCGCTGGGTTGAAGGCCGTGTGAATTTATTATTCCGTGCTACCACAGTTTCCTTCTCAGAGTGGGATAGTTGAGCAGTTAACAACGTAGACTTTGCAGCCAGACAAGGGAGATCAAATTCCTGGTCTGCCACTTACTGGCGAGCCTGTTAACCTCTCTGTCCCTCAGTCTCATCCTACACAAAGTGAGGATAAAGGAAATACTGCCTTGTGGGGACGTGGTGAGGATGACACACGTCAGTGTTTATTAAGTACTTAAAACACTGCCTGGTCCTCCATAAAGGTTAGCTTTGTGTGTCTGTCACCACCACCATATGTGAGCTCTTTGAGGGTGATGGGCTTCTTAATTTCTGTAAGACCCTTATCAGGGTACATGGTCAGAATGATCTCTATCTACCGAGGTGCACCTGGTGACAGACACAGGCGTGAGGGGGAGGCTCTGTGCAGTGTCTCATTTACCAGCATCCCTGGGGGCAGGTGTTACGACCTCCACTTCTGAGAGGAAGAAGTCTGGCCTTCATGTAGTTAGCGTTCCTCACAGCCCCCTGCAGTGAGCCTTCTGGGACCACCTCTGTCTACTGAGAGCTTTTGCTTTATTAAAAGGAGCTCTATCAGCTGGGCACGGAGGCTCACACCTGTAATCTTAGCACTCTGGGAGATCCAGGAGGATGGATTGCTTGAACTCAGGAATTTGAGACAAGAGCAAGCCTGAGTCTGAGCAAGCCCCCATCTCTACTAAAAACAAAATAAAACAGAAAACTAGCTGGGCGTTGTGGTGGGTGCCTGTAGTCATAGCTACTTGGGAGGCTGAGGGAAGAGGATGACTTGAGCCTAGAATTTCAGGTTTCTGTGAGCTACGATGCCACGGCACTCTAACCAGGGCAATAGAGTTAGATTGTGTCTCAAAAAAAAGAAAGAAAGGAATTCCATCCTCTCCTAACAGTTTCCACTCATGGGCCTTGGTTCTCTTCCTCACCAAAATGGCTCAATATCTCTTGCTATGACAGATTTCTGTGCAACATACTCATGTATACTGACTTGTTTAACAAATACTGTACAACGCAGTTGTTTATTTAACAACACAATGTAGCACTTAGTAGAGGCACCATCCTCATCAATTTACACACCTTGGCTCCCTTCATCCTTATGGGCATGAATCCTTCTGAGGTAGGTATTATTATTTTCCCCATTTTACGGATGAGGATGGTGAGGGTAATGGACTGGCCCCCGGTCTCCCAGCCTGGAGCGACTAGTGGGCTGAGAGTCAGAGTCTTGCTGATTTAGTTCAAGGACAGAGACTGTTACAGTTGCATTAGCTTACTCAATCCTCTTGACTTTGAAAGAAGGGCATTATTAGCCACCTTCTCTTGATGACAAAATTCAGGTCCCACAGAGATGAGTACCTCCCCGGAGGTCCCATGATCACTAAGCTGTTTCTATGGCAGAAATGCTACAAAATGTGGCAGGAAAATGGGGCAAAGGCCAGGCGAGGTGCCCCTTCCCTGACCTTGCTTCCCTGAGTTTGCTAGAGGACTGGACCAATGCAGAGATCCCCAGAAGCCTGGGATACTGACTGATGGCCCAGAGGCCCGCGCCCTCACTAAGTACTGAGAAGACTCTCTCCGCCAGGCCCAATGCTAGGACCTACAGATAGGGAAATAGATAACAGCTACCTTTCAAGCTGTCGATAACATTCAGGGGGTAATACTTAGGATGCACCCAGCAAAGTCACAGTGCAGGTTTCACTATAAACTGAAGGTTCATCCCCAGCCCCCACTGGCAGCCTGTGTGATGTCCACACACGCTCTGGCCCGCTGCTCCTGAACCAGCCCTTCTGGTGCAGGGTCTGTCTATGGGACGTGCTCCCAGGGCATCTCAGAACCATCCTCATTGAGCAACCAGAAGGGTCCACTTGCACTAAGTCTTTTTTCAGAAAGGAAAGAGAAGAACTCTGTGTACCTTGGCGCTCTCTCTCTCTTCTCCAGAATTCCATTTAATTCTGTACCTCCTAATCAACACAACAGAAAGAGAGTAACTTACCCGCTGGCCAGACGGTCAATTGCCCAGTATTGGTCCATTTCGTGCTGACACTTTTTATAAATCCGTCTACAGTTTGCCTCATCGGACTGGTCTCCACAGTCATTATCCCCATTGCAAAGAAGTCTGCGGTTCACACACCTCCCTGGGAGGGAGAGAGAGTGTCACCTCCATCCACACAGCCGTCAGGACAGGTGCTAACATAGTTTCGGCACCTACTAGATGCCAGATGTTTTGCTGGCCTTTAAGGCTGTTTTAATTAGACACCATGTGTCAGTACAGACTGGTTATGGCACTGACAGGATGTTTCCCCACGGTCCTCCCCCCACTGCCAAAAGAGGCCAGTGCTGTGTTCCGGAAAGCACTTAGATGGAGGCTAGTTAGAGCAATTCAGTGAGGGTGGGAATAGGCAGAGGGCCTGAGAGGCAGGGGCACGTGCCTGACAGGAGGGCGGTCCAGGCTCTCTTTGAGACAGGACAAAGGAGGAGGGTTTGGTAGGTCCTGCAAATAGTCACCAGCTGTGCCAACTTCCATGCGTCACCTCCCTACCTTAATGTATTCATCTGTAAATCATGCTCTTCCCACTGGGTAGCTGGGAATTTAAATAAATAAAACAATACCGACTCACAGTAGGCTCACATCAGTGTGGTCCTTACTGTTGCCAGTATGTTTGAGGCTGAGCGCACAATGCTGGTCATGTGTACAGCAGGATTAGAACCTTTAACTGTCTCCTCTCAAATTCTTTCCACCATCTTCAACAGCCAGGTTTGTTAGGCCTAGACTAAGGTAGAAACCTACCAGCTAACTCCTGGCAAATGTCTGGGCTGCAATCCCTCAACAAAATGGAGTAAGTCTGGTTCACTCCCAAGATAGACGGGAAAGCACTCACTCACTTCTTGCTTGACTAACTTCCCTGAGACCAGACCGGGAAGCACCAACTGTCCCGGGACTGACCTTTGAGAAATACCAGGTGGGGAAAGTACTGTATGGCTAACTAACCGCAAAGTTCTGCTTCTGTACTTTGCTTGCTAAGCAATCCGGCTGCAGCGCCTGGACAGCCTGTGTGCCAACCAGGATGCAGACCAAGCCTTAAAAACCCGACCCCTTAAGCACTTGGGGCTGCTCTCCGAACCCCTGTGTTGGGTGTGAGGCATCACCGGCCGGCTTTTAAATAAAGGATTTGTCTGTTAATTTGGGTAGCGTGATGGCGTGGTCTTGGGGACTTCCTGAGCGCCACATGTGGATGGTGAAACGTTATTTGTGTCACTTCTGCTTCCAATTAACTTCTTTCCCCTCTGGCTTGGCTTCCTTTTTTATTTGTATATTGCTGGGAGATACAGCCCATTAGACCGGTGACTCTGTTTCCTTAGACGTATCTGGTCACGTCTAACTCATGCTCTTGTTGTGTTAAAAGTAGCAAAATAACAGTCTGGTCTTCAAATATGTCTTACAAGGTATTTAAAGCACAGCCTGCCTGAATAACCATTATGGCTCAGGTCAGAACCGTGAAACACTGGCCATAACGAGTCCATGGATGTGCTGTAAAAGTCTCCCAGATTTATTGGAGGGAATTTTGCATTTGCAATAAGCCCTAGAAATAGCTCTAAGGATCCCTAAGATCTTTCTTGAAAGATCCCAGGGCCCAGTCCATATGGGGGCAACAAATGCATACCGTTACAACTCCCGTCTAGATAACTTGGGTCCAAATACCCTTATTTTTGCCAGAGACTTGGAGAAATAGGCATAGTTTGCTTAGATTTCCTAAATGAATAAGTTGAAAAAGTGTTTATTTAATTTTGCAGCTACTGAAAACTGATGTATGTATCCCCTCCCTCCTTCTCCATCTTTCCCTCTGCTTTTCTCTCCTTCCTTCGTATAATCAATACTCTTCATTGATTCCGTTATGCCCTAGTGGATGTGGTGATGCAGCAATGCAATGACAGGGGCTGTCTCTCCAAGGAGCTCTCAGAGATAAATGATGCTGCCCATTCTCTTTAACCGTCTAAGGTTTTGCCCCACTGTACTCCGTTCCAGGTCCCGGAGAGCGCCAGCAGGGCTGACAGTCTACCGAGAGCCTCCACAGCCACCATGTCACTTGACTCTTACAACAGACTTGTCAGGTATTGACATCACCCCTGATTCTCTATTGAGGGGACAAAAATGAAGACAGGTTAGGTGACTTCTAGTCACAAAGTCAAAATAAGACCTGATTCTGATTCTAGCACCCACACTTTGGGTGTCCTTCAGCCCATGAATGTGATTTGAATTCCGAATTTTCCAGCTGAAGCTCATCCACTTACCTGCTATCTGATCTTGGGCAAGTAACCTTTCCAAATCTCAATTTGGGAGAAAAGATAATAGCTGCTGTTTCCCAGATCCTTGGGAAACCAAACCAGCCATGGGCTGAGACTCTACAGAGGCTGTGGAAGCAGGCTCAGGACAATTATGTTCCCATTTTTCAACTGGGAACAATAATACCTGACTTGATGGGGTCATTGTCATGAAATAGTATGTGTAAAAGGATGTCAGTGATCTGGACACAAGGACACCTCCAGGCCTGTCCAGTGACCCTGACCTTGAGCACCAGGCATGGCCCACACGCCACCATCATGTGTCACCGGCTCATTTGCAAGTTTCCCCTCTCACTCCTACATTGCTTTATACCTGTCTGTGCACACACAAAGCCTTCACATCGCACTTGACTTCTGCAGGGTCTGTTAGTAACGCAGTCTTCCACTTCCTTGTCAGAGGAGCTGCATGGGTCTCCCTGGAACTGCGAGGGCCGGAGCAAGTAGGCGTGTCTGTACTGTAGCAGAGAGAAGAGCGGTGAACAGGGGCAGGGGGACCTACGGGATGCTCTGTGCAAACCGGCCTGGAGTGAGGCTCCCCGCTCCCCGAGAGCACTGGCAGGTTTGATAGATGCTCCCTGGCCCCTTGCACTTCCCCAGTTATCTACAGTTAAGGATCCTGACTGTCCCCAGCTGCACAGTGAGCTCTCTGAGGGCGGGGACCTTGCCTCGATCTCTGCATCTGCAGTGATCAGTCAAGATTTGCTGAATGTAAAAAAGCCATGAGCCTTGGACTCAAAATTAGTAAATGGACTCCCTGTTAAGTGGCTAGTTCAATAACAAAAACACAAACATTCTCCCAGCTTCATTGCTCCAGTGAGATAATTTGAGCCTTCTCATTGATTCCTTAAGGCGTGGGCATATTATACATGGAAAGCAAAGTGAGCTTTGGGGCCACAACTGACTCGACACTCTCTAGTCCCGTGATGCTGGGCAAGTCACTTAACCTTTGTGAATCTTAATTTACAAGATTCAAATGGGCATAATGAATTCTCTAAATGTGTAGCGCTGACGTTTAAATTATATAATCTCATGATGTTGTCTGGTACGTGGTAGGCGCTCCACGCTTTGTGCTTATTTCTCTTTTTTATTATTAAAGATGATTAGAAGTCATTGCCATAGCTCTACCTTCTCGTTCGTTTATTCCAAATTTATTGACTTAACCACTCCATGTTGAAAAAAGTAGGTGTTACTTTGTCTGCCTGTTCAGTTTGCCTTATGATCATGTTATGCAGCTGCCCTCGAGGAGGTCACACGTAGTGGTGGCCCCAGGCAGTGACAACGCAGTGTAACAGGTGCCAAGACAGTGCAAATGCAGAATTCCCCTGTGCTCATGGGAGAACCCCCCCAGGCGAACTTAGGAGACAGTCGGAGACTTCTGGAAGAAGTGACAACTCGGCTGACACTTGAAGGCTCAGTGGAAATGACAGGCAGACACACACACACCCAGCAAAGAACAACCTAGGCGAGGGAAACTACTGAAGCAGCAACGAGAGAACCAGAGGGGATGAGCCATGGTCCAGAAAACAAAAGGAAATTCATCCTGGCTGGAGAGAAGAGGGCAAGAGGGAGAGGGGTCAGAGTGGGAGGGGGACGTAGATGGGAGCAGATGACACACAGCCCCATAGGAAGGTGGATTTGGTGTCTTATCCTGGGGACAAGGAGAAACTGCTTCAGAGGAAGGAACGGATCCGACTGGGGAGTAGGGGGGTTCCAAAGGTTAATTGCAGTGAAGATTTAGTGCAGAAAAGAAGGGTGGACTTGAATAGCAGCCCCTTTGCATAAGGAAATATTAACAAGGAAAATTATTACTCATATGGCATCTGTACCAGTGGCTTTGGAAATCCAAACAAGAAATACAGATAACCCTTTGTCCATTGCTCCTTTGTGCTTCCAGAGGGTCGTTTTTCTTTTCTTTTTTGCAGTTTTTTTTTTTTTAATGGCCGGGACTGAGTTTGAACCTGCCACCTCTGGTATCTGGGGCTGGTGCCCTACTCCTTTGAGCCACAGGCGCTGCCCCAGAGGTCATTCTTTATGAAAGGCAGAGCCTGTGAGGGCAGGACAAGGCCTGCAAGGAAGACCAGGAGAAGACCAGCCTGGGCTCCAAAGGCAAAGGAGCGTGGCAAAGATGGGGACAATACGTCTCCCAGTCTGAGCTGAGAAGTTTGGTTGCAGCCCGCGGTGGCCCTGCAGCGCTCTCAGAGTGGGGAGCTCTGGCCGGCTGGCTGGCTCACGCTGAGTCGATTTGGTTTCTGGCGCAGATGAAGCAATTATCCAAATAATTGGATCAATGCTGATAACTTCAGCAATAAAACCTACTTTGGGAACTGAATGATCCTGCTTGGATCTCTCCATTGATCCAATTAGCTGCATAATTGTCCGGCTCCTGCTTCCACAGCCTCTTTAGAGCCTCAGCCCACGGCTGGTTTGGTTTCCCAAGGATCTGGGAAACAGCAGCTATTATATTTTCTCTGACACATCTGCTATACTCAGGGCTAGGACCCTGGGTCAGCCCACCTATGACAAAGGACAAACACAGCAGAGACTGTGTGCATTCGTTAGTAGGACACGAGACAAAGGGCCAGTGGCCTGAGTTCAAGGCCTACACCTGCTGCTCCATGAACCCAAGAAGTCACTTACCTACTGGCTCTGATTCTCTGTTTACCTGTCAGTCTAACAGAAAGTATAACAGAAATCCTTCCTAACAGACACCTCGAGAGTAGAATGAGGTCAAGCACCAAATATTTTCGACATACCCACTATGTGCCAGAAACTCGCCTACACGTTTGAGACACAGAATAGAATAAACCTTTACCAGTTTACTATTAAGTGAAGCTGCACAGTGTGATGAATGCTGGGAGAGAGGAATAACAGGGAACATTTGAAGCTCCTAAATGTATACTTATAAATGGATGTGGGGCTGAGGAGGAGTCAGGGAAGGCTCCTGAGCAGACTTCCAAATCATGAGTGGGTGATAGGCAGTGAAGGAGGTGGGAAAGGCCTGAGAAAGAGCCAGAATAAAGGCCCAGAGAGAGAAGTGGCCAGAGAAGGGAAAGGTTCCGAGCGCTGGGCTGGGGATCTCCTATGGAGATGTAGGCTGCGTTAGGTCTTGGGGACCTTCGAGTGCCATGACTTTGGATTTGATCCTAAGGGCCAAGGTTTCAAGCTAGGGAAAGACATCCTGGACCAACAAGAGGATATGTGTATTTCCCCTGGTTGCACCATGAAAGACAGATGGAAAGAACAGGTTCAAGGCTGGGAGTCCAATTAGGAAGACTCTAGATGTGCTTGGAAAGCACCAGGGAACAAAGGAAAGATCTGATTGCTACTTGGAGGCACAGAGAGGAAGGTTGAATTAATTACATCAGCCAACATCTATCAAGGGCCTCTGACGGGCCAACCTGTGTTGGCAGCACCTCAGCTGATGTTTCAGAGGATCAGGGCTCCTAGAAGCTCAGAGCCCTCCAGGCTTGGGTACTTACCCTCTTCTTTTGGCAGGGATCACATGTGGTCCAGGAGGACCAGCTGGAAAGTTCACAATCAATAGGCATCGGGGCGACGTCCACACTCCGAATGTGCCTGCTCTTAGCAAAGCTCTTGTTGACTGCATTTGACTCAAAGGAATGCAGCCTTTCACTCCTAAAAAGCCATCATAGAAGAGAGAGTCAGCATCAGAAGGAAATTAATTATACATTCAACCACCTATCCATTCATTCAATAACTGTGCATCTGCTCACTTGTGCAGGCCAAGGTCAATTCATTTAACAACTATTTATTGAGCACTCAGTAAGTGCCAGACATTATGGCTAGCTGTGGTCAAAAGAGTATTGACCTTGGATCAGAAGACAGTCAGTTAACAGCTGGGAGCTGGACTGGTTTTTTTAACCTGCATGAGCTTCACTTCTCTCATCCATATAATGGGGATAATTATACCTACTTCATAAGGCTACTTCCAGGATTAAAAATGATAGTGTAAACTCTAATGCACTGTAGATATTCAGGGAATATGACCAGAGCTAGATGCATGATCTGAAGCAATTTGCTCCCCGTCTCTGGGCCTCTGTTTCAGCCTCTGGAAAATGAAAGGTTTGAACTAGATTATCTTTAAGTTATCATCTCATGTAAAGCATCTCTGAAAGCATACTCTACATTGTGCTCCGGGGGTACAGACAAATATCAGACAGTCTGTGCCTTCAGAAAGTCACAGTTCATCTCAGAGTAAGAGGAGAGAGAATGTCTCACATCTTAGCCTGATGGGATTTTACCCAGTAGGCATAGCCCCCAGCTAGAGCTGGGGCTCAGGTGTGTGTGGGTGGGTGGGGGTCAGGACGGTCTGGCAGCAGGGGAATGGGGAGGAGGCTGGCACAGCAGAGCCGGTGACAGGGGTCAACTTGAACCACAGTGGTGGCCGGGGAGAGGGGATGGGGGAGGCAGACATATGTTTCTCAGGTGGAAAGGATCGAAAGGGATGGTAATTAGATGGCAAAGCAGGGTGTTAGAGAGAGGAAGGAGGTACGTGGATGCAAGTCTCCAGTTTGCGTGCATGAATGGTGGGAAACCCAGCAGGAAAGGAGGAGTCTCAGACGTTAAGTTTCCCACGGGGCATGCTGAGTTCCAGGCACTCAGGGGCACCTTCCCAGACCCCTTCAGTAAATGGTTCCTACCTGCATTTGGAACTCAGGAAGAAAGATTTATGCTAGAGATGCGGATCCGATTGTGAAAAGCTATGGAAGAGAATGAGATGGTTCTTAAGAAGAGAAGTGAGTCAAAGATAAGGCCTTGGGGGTATCAGCACCACCAGCAGACCAGGAGAGACAGGGGTCACGCCCAGTCCAGGGTACGGAACGTTTATAGAGGTGCACAGTGGGTGTAGGCTGGCACTGCTGGTGGAGGGGCGGACAGCAGACAGTATCACATCTGCAGAGCAGTCAAGCCACGTGAGACCAGAAATACGCCCAGAAGAAGGGCCGCGCTTTCTGCTCAGTTCCTGTGCATCGTGGGCTGTGAGTGAATGAATGACACGCTCTGGGCCTCCAGTTTCCCCATCAATAACATGATGGGTAGATCATGATTCTTGCTTTATTTTCCATCTGGAAAGAAGTACTACACCGTGAGGTCCTTCGTAATTTGTGTTCATTTCCAAGGCAAAAAAAGAAGACAAGTTAAGAAGAGGAAAGAGGCTTGCAGAGCATAACGCTGTTCCAAGGCCACGCGGGGCACTTGCCTCTGCTCTCCCGCCCCACCCTCCCCGCAATGCTAGAAGGTAGCCAGGGAGCATCGCCTCTGGGACGTGTGAAGACAGCGCCGTGTTCACCATCACACAGCTGGTGTGCGGCGGTGTTGGCATCTGAGCCGAAGTCTGTTTGATTCTAGAGTGGGTGTTTTGTCCACACCCCCAAGCCACCTGCAAAGGAACTGGCTGGCATTGGCTCCCACACCGTGCTCCAGTCTCTGCGGAAGGCCTCTCCCTTCCCTGCATCCAAGATTGAGTCATTAGAGAGCAGGACATCACACAGCGTTCACTGTCTCCAATACACAGGACGTCACTCCAGACAAGGTCATTAACAATACATTGTCACTTGGCAAAAGTCCTAAAAAGAGGATAATATCAACGACGGTGAAATCCCTGTCCGTGAACACCTCAGAGACAAGCAAAAATCAATTGCCTGGTAAAGCTGGTCTTTAACAAAAGGTCAAAACTCTACTGGAAACCACAGGTGGATATTTTAAAATGGTTACTGGCGGTAGGACGCTGCCTGGCAGCGGGGGCTTCAGAATGTGTTCTTAACTACTAATTTGCCCAGGTTTGACAAAACAGTATCGTCTGCGATTCGGCTTCTCCTAAGTGTGTATTTGACAGCTCTGCAGGGCACTCCTTTCCTATTTCAACCACAAAGCAGTTGCACTGTGTTTTTAGCAACTATGAAGCTGACTTCAGAGCAGGGTGGAGGCTGAGCGGATGAGGAATGTGCACGCAGCCCTGAGGAGTCCCAGTCACTTTCCTCTCGGAGACTTGGAAGCCTGCTAATGGGCAACATGACCACGTACGGAAGGAACTGGGCAAAAAGTTGTTAGAACCACCAGATCTCTCATTTTTATACCCAATTTTCATTACGGAGGTGGCGATATAATCAGCTGAATAAATAGTGTGTTTGTAAATTACATCAGATGAGATGTGTGTGGTTATTAGTACTACAAGACGCACATCTGAAAGGAAGGGCACCATTAAACAGCATCGTTAGTTCCTGGGAGTAGCCAGGACCACCTAAAGGTGGGGTCTCACCCGGGCCTCTGCCTAGGGCTACAGTTTTCTTTCATTTCTATGAATTGCTGTACAAAAAAACCCAATGGACATTTTGACCAACTGGTATAACTCCCATCATTCAAAATCCTCTGTATGTATATATATGTATTTTTTTTTGAGACAGAATCTCACTATGTCAGCCTTGGTAGAGTGCTGTAGTGTCACAGCTCACAGCAACCTCCAACTCTTGGGCTTAAGTGATTCTCCTGCCTCAGCCCCCTCAAGTAGCTGGGACCACAGGTGCCCACCACAATGCCTAGACATTTTTTGCTGTCATGGTTGTTGTTTTTGTTTGTTTTTATTAAATCATAGCAGTGTACATTAATACTATCATGGGGTACAGTGTACTGTTTCCATATGCAATTTGAAATACTTTCATCCAACTGGTTAACATAGCCTTCATGTCTTTTTCTTAGTTATTGTGTTAAGACATTTATATTTTACATTTAGAGAGATTCACATGTACCCTTATAAGATGCACCATAGGCGTGATCCCACCAATCACCCTCCCTCCACCCACCCTCCACCCTCCCCTCTCTCCCCTCTCCCCATATTCCTGGACTAAAATTGGGTTATAGCTTTCCTATGAAAGCTATAAATTAGTTTCATAGTAGGGCTGAGTACATTGGATACTTTTTCTTCCATTCTTGAGATTTGTATCAGAATGTTCATGGCAGCCCAATTCGTAATTGCTAGAGCATGGATGAAGCCCAGGAGCCCATCAGTCCACGAATGGATGTCATGGTTGTTTTTTTTTTTTAATCTGGCCTGGGCTAGGTTTGAACCCACCAGCCAGGTTCGAACCTAGCCTAGACCTGCTGATTTATAAAAATCCCGCTCATTTCTTTTATCTGCATGTTCTCCCGCAGGCCATAGGTTGCCTTTAATTTATTCTTTTTCTCCTCGATGGACATTTGCATTTTCTCAATGCTTCGCAATTGCAAATAACCCTACAGTAAGGGCCCTTTCTCAAGTCCTTAATCGTGTGCTCTCTTCACTTAAGGGCCGGCAAGGTGGGGCCTTTCCTTGGGGTACAGAGACATATTTCACCGGGCCGGGTCTCCCGCTCCCGTCCTAACAGGCGTCTCTGATCAAAATAAAGATGGATCCCTGCTGTACAGCGGGATTAGGTCAGCAGTAAATTGCGAGCCATCAGCTTATATAGATGGGGTGCGTCAATATATTTGGGCTTTCGGTAGAAACGCCCTGACACAACAACTTTCTTGTCACACACAATTTGTCTAGGCAGCTGCATCCCCCCCTTTGCAAGCAGCGTCTTTTTTCTTTGCTAGAAGGGGCAGCTCAGGGTGGCAGGTTTCCAATTTCTCTTCTCTCCGCCGTTTGCTGTGGTAGACATGAAATTTAAAGCAACATCTCAAGGCAACCAATGTGTGTCCCGGAGATAGAGAAACGGCAGAGACTCCGGCAAGCCTGACCAAGCGTCAGTGAGAGGCAGAGGAAGAAGAGGGAGGGTGCCAGGGACTCTGGAGCCCAAGCAAAGGCGAATCTGCACCCAGAGTCTGCTGTGGATGAGTGAGGACAGGGGACATTATTTCTCTGTCCCTCTCTATGAAATTGTAAACAACAGCCCTTACCTCAAGGAGCCGTGAGGATTAAAGCTAATGTTTCGAAGTTCCCGGCACAGAGCGGCAATCGATATATGACAGGTCTGGGACAATGCGATGATGATTTCATCTGAATTGATTATAACAGCAAATGAAGAAACCCCCAGATCTCTGTCAGGTAATACGGATGCAGTTTCCGCATTTTCTATCCCAGAACTAAAGACTATTCTTTTTCATGGATGGAGGCCCGACACCTGCTGTGTCCACAACTGCCCCACAGTAACCACAGGCAGAGGGCAGAGTTTGAGTCACTAGATGTGAGAGATCTCTGTTTCTGTCTAACGCCCCGTTTGCTGTTCTGCATAGAGAGGATGAGAGGAACGCCCCCCTTGAGATGTTGCTGTGAGCATTCAACAAGGTCTCCAGCCCTCGCTCTACTCGGCCACTTGCACGCCCGTCGCCTCTCGTAGAGTGAATGTTCTAGTGTGTAAAGCAATCATGTTTCCTCTTCACTTTAGCAGGGGTCCTCAAACATTTAAACAGGGGGCCACTTCACTGTCCCTCAGACTTTTGGAGGGCCGGACTGCGGGCCTGGGACGAGTTGGCTGCTAAGCAGGACAGGCAGTGGCGGCAAAAACACAGGGTGGGTGGGATAAATGTCCTAGGCAGGCCGTATGTGGCCCACAGGCCGTAGTTTGAGGACACCTGCTTTGTAGGCTTCAGGGGTTTCCAGTTGCCCAAAGGACATATCTGAGTTCCTTCGCTGGTCCCCCATGGGACCCGCCTGTGGTCTGACCCCTGCTCCTTCCTTCTCACCCCCATTCCTTCTAACTGTCCACCGTGGCCTGTGCTCACAGCCCCATGAAATGCACAGAAGCTTCAGAAACACTCCAGCGCTCTCACACTCCCAGGACGTCCCCTGTGTTGCTCCCCCTGCTGGGCACACCCCTCACCGTCTTAGCCGTTCAGTAAGCACCTGCGTATAGATACGCGGCCTGAGCACCTGCGTATAGATGCGGCCTGAGCACGCTGTCCTCTAAAAGCCCTTCCACGCCCCAGCCCTGTAGATCAGATCACTCTCTCTGAGCTTCCTGATCGCCCGGCACCATCTCCTACAACACACCCGGGACTGTGAGCTCTTCTGTCTGTTGTCTCTGTGTCCTCAGAGCCTGACCAGGGGCTTTGTACAGAGGCACGAGGACACCGATAGGGAGCTGCAGCTCCCTTGTCCCCTCTAGTCCAGACACCCTTCCTCGGATACTAATGCTTCTCTGTATACACACCGTACACGCGGGAAGGCCCTGGCAGCTTAGTTATTCTCTGGGCTAAACTGAGATGCTTAATAACCCCAATAACTGTTACTTACTGTGCGCCCAGTGGGTAGTGAATGCTCACAGCCCTCTTCTTGGGGTGATACCCCATAGGGGCTGAGTGGAAGGCATGGCTGGAGATAGAGGGTGTGTCCGATGAGCGCTGGGTGCGCCTCACACCGCATGAGAGACTGGGCTCAGATAGCAGTTTTTGTTTAAATAAAAGGAATGACATCAACAGTCTCCTTTCCCACAGGGGTGCTCACAGGAGGCCCGGGAACACTTCCACATCATGGTAGGGGCTTCTCATGCACCAGGAGGGGCCCCAGTTTCCAAATCCCTGACTCTCCTTTCAGGTTTGAACTCTCACTAAGATCTTTTCTTTGGCTTATTTTGAACTCTATTAATGGAAACCAAAAGTGATAAAATAAATCAGCTAGTATTGAACTGCTGGAGAGATCTGGAAAGAGAGAGAGGGAGAATCTGAGAGCACAGAGATTTTGAGCGAGTGACCAGCTAGAGTGGATCACTCCTATTTAGTAAAATCATTCAGATGAATTGGCTCTGTCTCTCCCCATACATTGCAAACTTTCTTTTGGATAAAGAATCACACCGTAGCTTTGTTCAGAACACAGAGCAAATATTCTATTCTTCTCAGCATGACAAAACGCATTAAAACATGTCAGTTTCTTACGGGAACTTCTGTTGAAGTCAGCCACTTGGTCCCACAATAATTTGAAGAGAGTTGTTGGTATTATTGTATCAGACACATGCAAATTGCTTTAAGAGATGCTCCTTGTTCAACAGACATGTGACAAGGAGACGGTCAGCATTATGTGGTTCAATATTCCCTGTGCTGTCACTGATCGGGGAATCATCCGTAACCGTCACTTACCTGGAGCCAGACAAACTGAGACAGCCCAGGGTGGCCCAGAGAAGAAGGCACAGCTCCGGCGGCCCCCTCCAAGCCCACGTCCTGAATTTCTTCATTGTTTTTTAACGCCAAGGCTCCTAGATTCATGACAAGCCTACACAGGACGGGCCACCATCTGCTTGTGCCCCCAGATAGCAAACAACCCAGCAAAGTAAACAGAATTCCACCAATGCCTGGAAACTCCTTAGACTTTGCACAGACCAAAAATTGAGCTGTGACTTTGGAAACCACCGAGAATGACGGAAAGCCCACAGCGACGTGGTTCTATTCAACTAGGACAGACTCCAGGGAGAGCCGCTGAGAGGACAGGCTGCTCGTGAGATAGTGAGGACGGAGGGCTGCAGATTCTCTGCCACTTACCAGCGTTGGGGCCGCAGACAAGTTACTTGTGTGTCTCACTTTCCTCACCTGCAAAACGCTGAGCATTGAGGAAGTTAACGCAGGGAAGGGCTCAGCACAGCCCCGTTGAGCACTCAGACAGGTGAGCTATTACTAAGGAGAAGGCAGGATTTGGAGTCAGCTGGGCCCAGGTGTGAATTCCGTTTTTGCCTCTTTCTTGCCGTGTGATTTTGAGCGCATTGGCAAGAGGCTGCAGGGCTCTACAGCCCATGGATCTGAGTTCCAATGCCTCCCATATGATTCGCCAGCTCTGTGACCCAGAGCAAGCCACTAACC